AAAAGCATAGGGTCCTAGAACTGCGGTCCTAGAACTGCAGCCTCCGGTTGTGCAGGAACACCCTTCTCGATTTAAAGCGTTTCATCCAGATCGCCAGTAGCAAACAACCCTGATAGCACACATACATCTCGGAGACGTCTATTTGACGTCTGCATTTACATCTGCAAGACGTATTTTTTACAGTGTTTGCTCATCTGCAATACGTCTATAAGACGTTTTCTATCAGATGTCAAATATATGTCTACTAGATGTCTTTAAGATGTTTATGATTTAGAATGTATGTAAAATTGACATCTTACAGATGTCTATCAGATGTTTGTACACAGCAGATGCTTTCCAGATCAAGTGATCTTTAACAGACATCTTGCAGACGTATGTGTGCTATCTGGGAATGGAGCGCACTCTGCTGGACAAACGTAATCACACCCTTTACAAGCATTTTATCTGCGTTTTATGTTCTGTTGAAAAAAACTTTCACTTAAGACATAACCGATTGTATTTATGGGATATTTTGATATATTTCTGTGTGTATTTGTCATTTCGAATGTGTAAGAATGCGAGAAAGAGAGCTCAGTCCAGTGTTCGCGTATATAAGAGGCGGCTTTTGTGCGTGCGCTTTGTGTGTTTGTGTGTGTACTTGCGCGCGCGCAGCACAAAAAAACAGTGCACGAGTGCAGAAGTGAGTTCTATTTCATCTTCTTGCAGTTGAATCTTTTGAAATCAAAATGCGCATACAGAAATCGAGAAGCAGAATCAAAATTTAATTTTATAACAAGTAATTTGATTCCTGACCTTACGCATCTGATCTGATTTCCGAAATTGGAATAGCTTTTCAATTCCCAACCCTCCTACTAAAGTATTTCATTCTTGCATGCAAAAAGACCTGTATGGTGACTATGGGGCTATGGAAAATATTTTTTGCAACTTACTAGGTTTATCATTTATCATATGTTTTTCCGATAATGTCGATAATCATCTGTTACCTGACTGTTGACAGCGATATCTCGATACTTATGAGACATCGTTGATATACGATAATATTGTCATATCGCCCAGCCCTAGATATATTTTCACTCGTCTAACACTCTGACTGAGCGCGTCACGCCTGTTTCACACATACTCCGTTTGCAGTGCTTATGCGGTGGGTATTTTTTTTCCCGCACCCATGTTAACAGATTGGAGCGCTCACACTGCACGCGGTTGCAGTCCGGCAGTGCAACTGCAGAAGTGCAGCGATCGTTTCCGCACCGAGTCGGTTTTGCTGTGCTGCACGCGCTGAATTAAAGTGACGCCGCATTGTTCGTGGTAAAAATGAACATGGATTGAAACAGAAATGTAGTAATTTATCTATCACAATAAATATATATAATTAAAGTCTACTGTGTTTCACAGTCAACACGTGGCTTTTTGGTTAGGTTTAAAACAAAGAAAAGTGCACTTTTAAATAAACAAGGCAACATAGATGCATTTGTGGAGATAGAAAAACAACGTTTTTTAAGACCTGCAGGGTAGTTTTAAATGCAATTTAAATGCAAACGAAAAAGGCACGAGAGCCAGCTGTTAAGTTTTAATTTAAATAATTTGTGATAGCCTAGTTTTAACGTAAGAAAAGTAGTCTATATGCTGTTTAACCTGTTAAGGCTGATTTATTCTTCTGCGTCGGACCTACGCCGTAGGCTATGCGTCAGTTTTCATTTATACTTCTGCGTCGTTGTCCGCATCAACGTGCAGTACACATGCAAACCGCTAGGATGCAGTGTCCACGGGCATGTTGCTGGTGTAACCCGCAGTACCACGGCAAAAGCCGAAGAAGAAGCGGCTCGTCGGAGAAGCATTATTCTTTCAATCTGCACAAGGACTTGTACCACGGCAGATCAACACTGTTTGGACGCCGGCGCACTGAACGCTCTGTTTGCACGTCAGTGTTTACGAATAGATTAAATGCAACGGGACAAAATTATTCTTGACAAACTATATATCATTATAAAGGTCTAAGCCTCAAGCATCGACGATAGATCGCTGTTTTTCAATGGAAAGCTTATAAGGAATGTATTTGCTAAATTTGTGTAAGCAGTACACATCAAAACATGCATAATCAAACCGCAGTAGCTACGTACCAGATTCATCGTAATAACGAGTCATAAACGCATCCACTGCTGTGAATCCCGGTGTAGTTAGAAAGGTAAGGGTCAACATCCCATAGAGCACTTTTAGTCCAACGAAACAATAACATTGTAATATGGATGGTGATTCCTTTGTTTACATCTCATTTCTTCTGGGAGAGTTATTGTTTGTATCCGTTATGGAATAACTTGCGCTCAAAAACTGCATCTTGGTAGTAAAAAGCAACATGGTTTTGTAGCATACAGTGTCACAAACAGAATGAGACCATCCACTAAAAAAAAGTCAAAGATATGCAGAATATTGTTTATTTGAATTCTGGCACTCTCTCGTCACGGCTCGTGACGCCCATTTATTACTCAAATTATTCTTATTGTATTTTTCTAGTGCTCAAATAAATCCCTTATACGATTTCTAAGATTATGTGTATTGTTTTATAA